AGGCGCTCGCAAGGTCTTCGATTCGGTCATCAACGATGTCTCCATTGCTCCCAGCCCCTGCCTCTTCCAGGCTCTGTTCGAGGCCATGGTCGCCAACCATCACGTCGCCGATACCGAGCCCATGCTCGCCGAGATGCGCGCCAGGCGTATTGAGATGACTCCGTACATCGCCAACACTCTTATCCACGGATGGGCGGCCGAGAAGAACATTGCCAAGGCTAAGGAGATCTACGCGGCTGTTGGTCGCGAGAAGAGGGAGCCTAGCACTTACGAGGCCATGACCCGCGCGTTCCTCGCCGTCGAGGAGCGCGAGAGTGCTAAGGGTGTCGTGAGCGAGATGCTCGGGCGTGGGTATCCCAGTGCTGTTGTTAACAAGGTGCTGGAGTTGTTGGGTGGCGGTAATGCTGAGGAGGCTTCTGCGTAGAGCAGCTGTCTCTAGAGGATTGCCGAGTCGGTTTCTCTTTTCTTTTTCGGTTGTCCGATTTGATCACGGTCTCCTCTTTTTTTTTCTTTTTGGGTTGGGAATGACTTTTATGATACCCCCTAGCAAGAAAGTTTGCATCATGACATTGCTGAATGTGTTACGGTTTACGGTTTTTCTTGGCTTCAAAGGGGGTATTATTGCAAACGAGGTCATTGGGATTGGGATGCCGGATGGATAGAAGGAAGGAAAAAAAGAGAGGGAAGGCTGCGATCATGATTTTGTTTTTTCTTTCCAAAAGTTATTTCTGGGCTAGATCTGGGTCTGGTCATTTCGGTCAAACATCAGCGGGCGGCGTTCCGGTGTCAAATTCTTGTTGGATGGGTGGGTTGGTATCAAACCGGGGGCCCCGCCAGCCGACAATGTGTTCGGTCAAGGTTGTGTGGCTCGGTTGACGGAAGGGAAGGGTTGAAAATAGAGGATCGGGCTTGCTTTCTTTTTCTTTTTGTTATACCCTTCTAGGGCGGGCGCTGCTAGCTAGGTACCATTTATCGGTTGAGGCTAGAAGGAAGGAAAGGAGGACAGGCATGGCATGGCGCGGCATGGAACGTATACCACCACGGCAAAGCCAACCGTTAGACGTTTCGAGGAAACGAAATCTCCACTCTGCACATATTATTAGAAGCAGCAAAAACAATTTAAATGGTACCACCACTCGGAGCAGCAGATTAAAACGTGATTGACAATTCGAGATTCTAGCGTGCCCAATCCAATGCTGCTTTATTCGTTACCTCTATATCCTAGTTCCCAACTAAACCCATACCGACCTCTCCAAAATATCGCGATAACACATTGAAGTGCGTAGACAATCATCGGCCAAAACACAAATATGAAGGTAGCGGGCTGTACAGAATCACTTGATTCATGACAGACACGCAAAAGCAGAAAGGATGAGAGCATGGAGAAGTTCAGCCCGTATGGACTAAGGTTTAACAATAAGTATACGGGGCACTTGGCACGACAAAGAGATATACCAGACACTCGCCTTTCAACAAAGAAGGTAGAAAAGAAGATACTGAGGTAGGAAGACAGATAGATGATTGCACAGGTGAAAGAAACGGGGGGAAAGTAAGGTAGAACAGCAATTGCAAGGAGGAGAATAGAAAGAAGGAGGGGGTAGCAAGAATGAGGAAGAGATAGGAGCAGAACAATAGAGGAAAGCAAAATGGAGAAAAGTCAACTCGAACTATCCAGTCATCAGCCAGCCACTCGGCTGGGTTTGGTAGGTACATAGACATTCTCTTCGCAAATAAATCGATGGACGGTAGGTAATGGTGATCCGTGAATGGGCGTATCGGTACGGGGCCATACATACATAGACGGAGTCTACCTAGTCGTATCTATTAACGTTGGTACCGTAGTGGAAAAATCGGGAAATCAGGAAGGCTACTTGGGGGGATTGTAGGCTACACAGATCAAGTGGCCTACCCGTGTCAAGTACCTGTATGCGGGCCTGTTAGCACGTAACTCTATTCTAGAGTTGAAATGGGCAGGAGGGATGACTTACCTCCCCTTGGAGGGGTTTATGAGAGTGAAAGTGAATTTATCTGTAGGTAGCTTGTCAGTGTGTGGGGGGTGGGGGGGGAGGGACTGGCTTACCTGTGACCGCATAGTAGTTGTCTCCTCTGTTTGATTTTACCCTAGGACCGGCCTAGAAAAGTGGTTAGCATGCCAGAAGAGGATGGTGGACTCACCTCATATATCTAGGTGAGTTGTATTTGGATAACCTAGATTGCAGCAGTCAGTTTACCAGAAAAGGGACAGGGAGTACTTACCTTACCTAGGTATCGGGAAGTGTCGCTGGGTTTGTTTCGGCCTAGAAAGGAGTGAGCTTTTCTGTCGATAAGTGTTCAACTTACCTGTGAGTTATGGGTCTCTTCAATCTACAAAGATTAATTAGCTTGCCAACAAAGGAATTTGCCTCTGATGTTTTGAGTTGAAGATAGCTCGGTGTCATCCGACCTGCGAAGGGTGATTAGCTTTCCAGATGGAAGGGAATATTACCTAGAGTGGTGAGACAGAGTCCGTTATTTTCCGCTTCTGTCTGCACAAGCCGTCGAATCTAGAGTAAGTCGTCACTATTACGGGAAGGATAGCGAACTTAGCTTGGACTAGTAGTGTTGAGTTTTGTCATTCTAAAAAAAAACTTAAAAAATGTAGTCAGCTTTCCAACAGAGAGGGAGTAACTTAGGTATCTGTGAACGTCGAGTTGCAAATCGGTTGGGTATCGATCGATTTCTGTAATCAAGTGCTCTGTCAGCTTCTAAAGGGAGCCGGATGTTGACTTACCCGTGAAGTATTGTGTCTTTACTCCGGTCGGTGTCTCTTGGCTCGTCCTAGAGGTTATCGTCAGCTGTTGTGGATAGATGGACACTGACTCACCTTGTGCTCTGATCGAGTGACTCTGAAGTGATTTGTTCGGCCTAAAGACACAAAGTCAGCATGTGGACGACTGGACGGTGGCTTACCTTGATATTGGAAATCCGCGGATATTCTGGTTAATCGAGGGTGAGATGTGGGTGAAATCGCTTTTCGAGGTAAGATTCGGGGTCGGGCTATGACAGGAAGGGCCAAGTCGCATTTCGTTCTGTGGAAATGTTAGTCGAGGTTCCGAGTTGGGCCCGGGACCGGGCATCGGACGTCGAACGTGGTTCTACGAATTCGTCAGCTTTCCAAGAGATGTGTTGGGCTTACCTGGGAAATATTATAATTCGTCTCCTGCAGTGAGAAGAGGTCCGACCTAGAAGGAGTCACCTGTCAAGCCAGTAATTGGGTTGACTTACCTGGAGTATTGGCTCGGCGGGAGTTGATGAGATGGGCTCTCTTTGACCTAGCAAAAATCAGCTTTCACACTATGGGGAGGTTGACTTACCTGAAAGATTGCCTTGGCGATCATGTCCTATGAAGCAGGTGGTCAGTTCTTCGGTCAAGGGTCGAGATTGACTTACCTCTGATGGTTTTTTATGCTGAAATTGTTATCCTAGAAAAGCTGTCAGCCACCTAGCGAAGGGAGGGGTCACTTACCTGCGAAACTAACGGGCTTGTTTCATGTGGGTTATGGTTCGGCCTAGAACAGAGACTTAGCTTTGGACCTAGAGGAGATAACTTACCTGCCATTGTCGCCTTGGGGAAGATGAACCTGCCAGAAAAGTGTCAGCCTCCAGTCAGGGAAGGGGTTGACTTACCTGTGAAATAATCGTCCGGCAAAAAGTGACCTGTAGATGAGCAGTCAGCAGAGAAATCACTGAGGAGTAACTTACCTACCTATTAAGTATTGAGTTCGGGAAGGATTGTACCAAGCTAGTGAAAGAAGTGAAAGGTTTATTCGATAAATGGCGGCACTTACCTGTCAGATGTATGGTTTTCGACGGTGTGGTTCTCTAGTAAATGGATAGTCAGTTGGTGACCAAAGGGGAGGTCGACTTACCTGCAAGGGGTCGTCGGGACGAATTTCCGGGTGAAAGTATTCTGGAAAGATCGTCAGCTATACACTGAAAGAAGAGTTGACTACTTGTGAGAAGGGAACGAGGTGCTCCGAGGTTGGTTCTGCGAGAGGGATTAACTGGGTACAGGAGGTAGAGGGATAACTTAACTGGAAGTGAAACCAGGATCAGCGGTTCTGGAGTAGATAGTAGAGATGGATTCGCCTCGAAACGATGATATCGGATGTTGTCTGAAAACGGTCATTAGCTTCGTCTCGACATTTTATAAATCGTTGGTTCAGATGAATCTCTCGTATACTCCGCCGTGATATCTGTTGTCAAGGTTGATGGTGTGTTTGTGTTCTAGAATCTGTGTTGTGACATGGATGTTGAGATGTTCCGCCTGATGACTTCTCAAAAAACTTCCAGAAACACAGAGGGGACCACAGCCATTTATATACAATGAGGCCTTGAACAACAAGGGGGTCTATGGCGGCCCATTCCGCGAACAACGGATTGCTTCTCGAACAGAGCTCGGATGAAAACAAAGAGTGTCTGCCCTGCCTTTCCTCCGGGGAAGTATCCCGGTCTTTATGGGCTACGTTCGCTCAATGCCTGGTAAAAACCATTGGCTGCGAATCTCTACCCAAGTACACGGGATTTCACTTTGGGTTCCCCGGTCATTGTGGGCTATTGGCAACACGCGGGTGTGGCTTGACATTGTTCCTCGGAAGTTGGGTCCTGTTGACCCGGCTTTGTCGCGAACCAGATACCGGGTCGGCCTCGAGTCCTCAACCCAAATAAGGGCCGTACGCTTGAACAATGAACCAGGCCTGGAAGGGCATCTCGCACAAAAGACAAGACTTCCTCGAGTGCGAAGTTAAAAGAAGATGATACTGATGTAAGAATGCAACGACATCTGCACGGGTTGCTGCCGAGTGGGTATGAATAACGAATTTCGAACGCAACGTGAGATTAAAACCAAACATCTTGCAGCAGTGGGAGATAGGAGCAGAAAAAGGCAGACCGTTCTAAGGGAAAAAGGCAAAAAGAAACTTGATACGGAGATCGTAGCAGAGAAAAAAAACCAAAAGGTATGACAAGAGTGGGATTCGAACCCACGCCCTTTCGGACTGCGATACTCAGGGATCCTGAACACAGCGCCTTAGACCGCTCGGCCATCTTGCCTTGGATTTTGTTGAAGATGCATAAACATCAAGCACCTATAATGACGACAACAGATACTGCAATTCTTTGGTTGAGATATGAAAACAACAAGGCGAGTTCAAGGTAGCATGAGTTGAGTTGGACACTGGCCAATATGATGAATCCCGGAAGGGGCAGCCCGTTCAGCAAATGGATGAACAAAGCACTCTGGAGTGGGGTCGGTCGCACCCAGAAACCTGGTCTTTGCGAGCGATCCAGACCAGAAGGTTGGGAGAAGACGGTATAATAGAATAAAGAAACCGGTGTGACGACAAATCCAAAACTCCCATTTGTTCCGTTAGATACATTCTCAAGCATGTTGACCGGGTAAGTATGCCATGCCTCCCAGATAACCACAAGTTGATGATAAGTCAGAAACAGTAAACATGTGTGCTGTCCTGTAAAACGACCGAAAGATGTGTTCCCAGCATTGAGACCGAAAAGCTGGCGATCAACGCCTGATAAACCGCAACAATCATTCCGAGCTCTTGAGCTCTCTCCACAGCCAGGTAGAAACAACAGCATCATCTGTTGCTCAGCTCTCTCCACAGCCAGGTAGAAACAACAGCATCATCTGTTGCTCACCTCTATTCCTCACCTCTTCAGAAGGTCGCACTCAAGTGACCACTCTCTTCCACATTTCCTAATTATCAGTTCAAATAATGACAATAGTCTGCGGACCCAGTCCATCGCCCCAAATGCCGACAACCGACATCAAGAAGGCAACGCCAGCCACAGCGCTCTGGACAATGTTCTTCTTCAAGAACACCTCCACATTAGCGCGGACCTCTTCACCATTGACATTGGCCAGCCCCTCCTCGACATCCTCAGAGCCCGAAGTCGCCTCGCTGTGGGAAGGATCACCGAGAACCTCGTAGCTAGCCTCCAAGCCGCGGGGCGTGCTGCTCTTCTTCTTCTGTTGCTGGCTGCTGCGGGCGGTCACGAACGAGACGGAGGACATGCCGGACGAGAACGAGGCGGGGACGGCGGGGGTGATGAAGCTAAAGTACGGGCCGAAAAAGCCCGAGGTGATGAAGCGGGAGCCGAAGACGAGCAGCGAGGTGTAGATCAGGTAGGGGTGGCGGTAGGCGCGCGGGGAGAGGTAGTAGGCGATGGCGAAGGCGGAGCCCGAGACGGTGCTCAGTGTGCGCAGGTGCTTCTTGGCCGAGGTGGATAGCGATTCGAGTGCGCGCGCGGCATCGTTTGCCGATGGGAGGGTCAGGAGGGCGGGGATAGTGAGTGTCGAGAGGGTGAAAGACACGCCCTATGGAGATTGCTGGTTAGTGATTGGATATTCATTCAAGTTGAAGTGTGATAAGTCGAAGTAGAGCGCGGATGCTCGAATCTTCAATTGCGCCGTTTAGTAGCGTCAAAGTCATTGTCGCGACAGCGAAAAGGAAGAGGTGCGGGAGAGATAGACGTACTGTTAGCAGGCCGAGGGACACGGTCCCTACGAACTTGAGGACGGAAACGCCTCTCGTAGTCATGATTGCAACCTGGCCGTCAACGAAGCCGATGATGCGCGGGGACGATGTAAGATGGAAATGGTTGGGTTCACAGAAGGTCTGGAATCTCGTCGTGTCGGGTCAAGAGATGTCAAGGGCAAAATCCGAGTCTAGCTTCCTCAGCTTGGGAAGTGGGGATTTCACACTGGGTGCTAGGTATCGTCACGGTCCGCACAGAGGTCCCGCAGCATGCGATAGCGGGCAGTCAGTCAGTCCACCGTCACCACGGCCGCACGGCAACACCCACCATCACTGCCAGCCAGTCCCATCCTCCGGGCCTGTCACCTGACGAGATAAATACGGTCCATTATTACCCACGTCTTTTGTGTTCACCTTCGGAACTCTTGCCCAGTGTGCCTTGACACTTGAAAACTTCCGGCCGTTAATAAGGTGACAGAAGCGGAGAGAAGCATGGACCACTTGCGTCATTGTGAAACTTAGGTAAGGGAAGTGGGTTGCATGGCACGGGTAGAAGCTCCTCCCCAGCTTCTGTCGACAGCCCATATTAAACCCTAACCCTTTTACAAACTTGGATATTAGAGCCCAAACTGCGAGTAACGAGACAATATGTCACGCCTGTAAACGGTTGATCTCTCCTCTAGCAGAAATTCGAACGATCAATTGGGTCGTCAAGAACCTATTCTACAAGGTAATCATGCTGCCGTGAAGAGTGAAGATTCCGGAATAAAGGTAGTGTGTGGCGTGAAGGTTCTGAAGAATGTCCCGCCTTGGATGTCCCGTGGTGAAGTGTGGTATATTTTGCCCTCCGCCCATACCTGGATCACATCATGAGATGTGAATATCGGTTCAAGGTATATTGGCGCTATAGTGGCGGTTGAGCAGTGAACGCCATCCATTGCCTCTTGGTCGAGATCAAAGGTATCTATTACACTGCCCGCAAAGGAGCCGTCTATACCGCACCTGATCGGCCGAGATCCCACCTCAAGCCCGTGTTCCTAGCTGCCGTAGGAGGCCTGGTGACTACTCCTTAGGGCAATGACGGAGAATGAAGGTCGGCGAAGGCATGGTCAGTATTGGTGTCCCCAACGAGGCAATGGATTGCACGAGGTGTGAGATGATGCGCGAGGTGGTTTGTCTTCAAGTTGAAGGGAGAGAAAGCAGTCAAAAGTAATGACACATGGCAGAGCCTATTCGTACCATGTTATTCAGTTCGTTGGATAATCAGGTAGGTAGCGGTTGTGCCAGTCACGGTTCTGCGACAGTGTACGGCCGGGTTAAACTGAAGACGAAGTATCCGCGCACCGCAGTGGCTCGTTTGGTTGACGGGTTGTTGGACTCGAGGAACGAGTGGTTGATGAATGAGATGGGTCCTTAGCTGGATTGCTGCAAGATTTGGACACCAAAACGATAGCCGCGTAACAGCAGGCTGAGTGACCAAGCCTTACATGAACCCGTTACCCAACGTGGCTTACTTAGCAGATTAGCGCGATAAGCATTAACGTTGGTACGTCATCGCCTTGGCTTCCAGCGCACTGAGGGGAAGTGCGAGGGTCTCTTCGTTATAAAAGAGGAAGAGGAACCACAACATCTCACGTTATGCCCAAGATACTTGCACATTGAGAAATCTTTTGAAACGACTCAAAACACTACTTTTAAACAACACCATATTCAACTTTGACACCACACATATCCGACAACATGCCTCTCGTTGTTCCCGGCGTTACCACCAACGACCCCGCGATCCAGAAGACGGAGGAGTGGATGAACAAGTTGTGCGGCAAGACGCTTGCTGACCACACTTCGGAGACTGTTAGAACACCCCTTTCGCCGATACATGGGTTTTGAAGACAAGAATGCTGACTCTTTGCTTTTCTCAGACCTTCTGCAAGTCCGATCTCCCACAGCCAACCCGCATCATCGAGCCGGGTACCATGGTTACTAAGGATTTCAACCCTGACCGTCTCAACGTACATGTCGGCGAGGATGGGAAGGTCAGCCACGTTGTCCACGGTTAGAGAGGAGCACGACGGGTTGATAGAGACGATGAGGACATGATGGCATGACTTGGGAAGTTAATGAGTAATGGAGATAGCAGCATGGCGCTGTGTTTTACGACTGCGATGAATATACATATAACACTCTACCATAGCTTTGTTTTTAACTTTGGATGAGCACCTTGACGGCTGTTGATAAACCGGTTGCCCCGGAGACCCTTCGTAAAGCCCTTTCATTTGTTCAAACGCTGGACTTTGTCGACCGGTCCCTCTATCAGCTCCGCTATGATGACACCCTGGTCTGCTGCACAGATCCCAGCAAGGCGGCCTTGGCAAGCCGAGATCAAGGCCCCACCTTCGACTTCTTCCCCTCCCCCGCCATCAAACAATGGCCCGTCGCGACCTACCGTCGCCAGTTTCTTTGATTTCCACCGCGGAGCTCCTTGTCCACTTCAATTCTCAACACAACCACCACAGAGCCACTGTCCCTACATCACGACTAGAGATCACGACGATTACGAAATCCGAAATACAGTTCTCAGTTACCACAAACGCATAATCTTGGAAAGTCGCAAAGTCGCAAATACCGCCACCATGTTCAAGAAGGAGTATGACATGCACCGCTTTACACATACCTCTTCTGCTCTCCCTCGCCCTGGTCGCAACCAATGCCGCTTTACTACCCGCCATTACAACACCCGCTAACTCTTTCTCTCCAACAGCATCACCCCCTCGCCCAAGCAAAAGCTCAAATCCTCGATCCAGCGCAACCTGCGCCAGTCGCTTTTGACCACCTACCCGCTCCTGACCCCTTTCATCGACGACATCATCCCCAAGAAGGCCTCGCTCGAGCAGATCAAGCTTCCCGACCGCGTCTCTCTGTACGTCATCGACGGTACCACCCCCCTTTTTTTCCAGGCCGACACCCCTTCGCAACAAAACACCATCGTGCCCCATCTCAAGCTCGTCCACCGCTTCCCGCAATGCTTCCCCACCATCAGGATAGACCGCGGCGCCATCCGCTTCGTCCTTTCGGGTGCCACCCTGATGGCCCCCGGCCTGACGAGTAAGGGCGGGCGCCTGCCGATGCCGCATGAGAGGCCGCCGAGGGAGAAGAGCGCTGCCGAGGCCGAAAATGCGGACGATATCGAGGTGCCTAACGAGGGCGCGGATGAGGAAGGACACTGGAGTCGCGAGCTGGAGAAGGGCGAGCCGGTTGTCGTCGTCGCCGAGGGCAAGGAGGAGGCTTGCGCTGTGGGAGTGCTGGTTGCGGGGACTAAGGAGATTAAGGAGAAGGGTAAGGGACCGGTTATCGAGGAGGCGCATTTCCTTGGTGATGGGCTTTGGAGGATGGCGTTGGATTAAGCATGGAGTCTGTCTGACCCATGGCGGAGAAAAAGTTGGGGAAAAAGATACCTCCCTACAAAGCGTGTTGGGAGCCGGCCTAGGACGAACAGGGCCTTTTTAGCAATACGGAGGACAGTTGATTAGGTCAAGGGTTTTCTCTTTCTCCCCGGCCTGC